TTAAAGGGCAAGAACTTTTGGAATCTCAACTATTTCTGGCTGTGGACTACTCCTTAAACAGCTCCGGTGTCCCCTCTGGCACACCAACCAGCTGCTCATCCCCAGGGCAGTCAGCACATGCCAGGGCACAGGAGGAATATGGACTTCCTGGTCAAATTGCTCCCCTGTGGCTTGCAGGAGCTTTGAGTCTGGTCCTTGCTATGTGTTCTGGTAACTGAGGGTCTGATTGGAGCTCTCCAATGCAGGGTAAACTGATAAGTGTATTTAGCTTAGCAGCATTAAATGTTACCCATCACTATTTAACTGCTGAGCAAGACTTACTCTGAAGGACAAGTCTAAGAAACTTCATATTTGAACCTATCAATAGGCCTTGCTAGAGGATTATAACGTGAAGACAAGGCAAAGACTACACAGAAAACTGTGGAGGGGGGAAGTGGGGGATGTCTGCCTGTAGCCTGTGTTTCACAGTTTCTGCTTGCATTTCCTGAGTCCTCATTATGAGTAAGGGACCATTCCAGGGCTGGGTATCCCAGGATGGGTTGAGTAAGAGCATGAGGAGCTGGCTGTGAGGTAGGTGATTTCTATCCTTCAGCTGAGGGGACCCCAGCCTCCGGGTTAACTTGCAGTGTCAGGCCACCAGGTCCTAGGAAGGGAATTAATCCCCCAGAGGAGTAATGGGTGTTCTGCCTGAATCATACGAGTTTCCAGGTTGCCAGAAAAGTATTTTTTAGAGGCAGATAAAACATGATCCCTGCCCTCAAGAAGTTCACAAATGGCTGGTCATTAAGAGGAGCTCCTTCCAAGCCTTGGAAGTCCCAAAATTGACTTCCTGGAACTTAGGGGAAGAATAGATTAATTCACTGAGAACTTCAACCAAGAGATAGTAAGCTTTAAAAAGGACGTAGAGCCCTGACCGGTTTGGCTCAGTGGATAGGGCGTTGGCCTGCGGACTGAAGGTTCCCAGGTTCAGTTCCGGTCGAGGGCATGTACCTTGGTTGCAGGCACATCTCCAGTAGAGGGTGTGCAGGAGGCAGCTGATCAATGTTTCTCTCTCGTCGATGTTTCTGACTCTCTATCCTTTTTCCTTCCTCTCTGTAAAAAAAAATCAATAAAATAATATAGTCTTAAAAAGATTAATACATTTTCAAAAAAAGACATAGAAATGATAAAAAAAAACAGTCAGAAATGAACAGTACAATAACTGATACAAAGAATACACTAGAGGCTGAGATGGTGTTGGATGGGAGAGGGCATGGCAGCTCTGGGCCCCCGGGCCTCTGCCCACTTCCACGTGGCTGTTCCTGAGTTGCATCCTTTATCATGAACCTTGTAAGAGACAGAAAGGGAGAGGGAGAGAAACATCAATGATGTGAGAAAATCACCAATCAGCTGCCTCCTGCACGCCTCCCACTGGGGGGTGGAGCCCGCAATCCAGAAACTTATAGACTTTTCCTGCTAAGACATCAATTTGTGTCTTAGAGAAACAGAAATACTGTGAAATATTGAAATAACCTAAATCATCCAAAACTAAGGCATACATACATAATGAAACAAC